TTAATGATAATTATTTTTTTTTTTTATTCTTCGCTTCGGAAGGACCGAAGTTTCAATGTGATGATGCTGGCAATGACGATGTCAAACGACTAGTACGACGAGAAGACACACTTTACGACATGCAGTTTTCTCCGGCATCTTCGTTTACACGGTTGTTGCGGTGTTGCGGCGCCGTTTCTTTAGGCGCGCTTATTTTTGCGCCGGGCGGACCTGCTGGAAGCGGGCCGCGGGTTTCTTTGCAAGAACCGCAGCAGGTCGCGGGCCGGTCGGAATACTCCCGCGGGCCGGGATTTCGAGATCCCTGGTTTAGCCGATCATAGCACACATCACGGGGGATCACGAACCCCGAGACGTTGCGATTTTGACGCTCTTTGATTGGCCCAATCGGCTGGTAGCGTTGGCCGTCACACCAGCACGATGGCGCTGCTGTCGGCACTGCGCATGCGCGGATGATTGTTTGTTAACAGTGCATTGGCGTATAGCCATCGCGCAGCGGCAGTATGATTGAAGCAGCCTGCAACCGCTCTTTGCAATTTAGGTCACACCATAACAATTAATAAAATGGAATTTGAAGCAGCCAACAACAAAGCGCTATATCACGTCAAATCTTATACGTTCTGAATAAAAAAGAAACGAAAACAAGGCCGCATTTGTTTGAGTAGAGAGTTCGGCACGCGCGACGATGTTCATGAATGTTGAAGAATGGCCGACTAAGCTCTCATCGAGCTGCAGTGTGGGGGAGGCGTGAACACGACACGACGACGCCAACGTTCCGTGACGCGATCGAACGGAGGAACGGCCTTCGTTCCGTCGCGCTCGAATAAATCTGGCGCGCTAAAAAAGCTCCCCGATCGAAGGTCCAATCGAATTACTCCCGAGTGTCCCGGCGAATTCTGAGGTGACGGGAAGCGGGCCAGTGCGTCTCCCGTCGCACGTCGCAACTGACGTCTTTTACCTGAATCGATGATGTTTGCGCTTAGCGGCGTCTAGACAACGAAAGAATGAAGAAAAAAAAGTCACAGCCTTTTCTTGGAGAACGAGTTTTAAACAAAGCACCGCGTTGGTCTTTTCTAGGTGGCGCCGATAATGTAGCACGACAACTTTGTTAGCTGGAAGCAACGTTACTATAGATTACCTCAGTTCTGGAACTACCGGAAAAGTGTACCCCCCCCCCCCCCCCCCCCCCGGCCCCCTCCCCCCTTCACTCACTTTATGTCCGCCTCCCGTCGTTCAAAGCGCCATCTAGATTTTCGTTTACGAACTGTGTGCTCCATAGAGTACGGTGGAACTTCGTCTATGAGCAGTTCCGTAACTCAGCTAATGTAATAACGTTGGCTAGGAGGTGTTGATTAGGCCGAAAGCGCGAAAAGCTTTCGGACGTCACAGAATTATTCCCGGCGCTGCAGACAGCACAGCGCAGCTGGAGTGTTCACACGCGGCGCGGCAGAGCGGCCTCCACATCCTCTCCCACCGACTGACGTCTATAGTAGTAGGCTGGATCGCGGATCGAGACTTGTTTTGCTGGGGTCGAGTGGCACCAGCGGTGGCCATTGCTTGTCACGGGCAAATGCAATGATCCCTACAGAGAAAAACGTGTAGTGAGATTTCTCTAATTTGTGTTATAGTTTGCGCGACAAAACTTCCACGAAGGTTTCATGGAATGTCCAGAAAGGTTTGTGTTGAGATGTCCAACATTCCTACACTGAAGTTTTAGGAGGAAAATACTTTTCTAATCATCTGTGGACTTCCTCCACGGGCCCCACGAGCAGCCACGTCGTCATGCAAGCAGCAAGAAAGGTTTGGTTCGAAGCCATGCTGACTTATATTTTTACTTATTAAGGGTTGCAGATTGCGTTTGGGGAATCATTTTTGTTTCCAAATCAAAGCAGACGATGTCTGATGACAAGTCTACTCTTGCCTGCTAAATTAACTTATTTTTAAAACATTACCATTAGAATCGGTGTTTGTGTTGTGAGTTCCTCTAAGCAAAAATTGAAGTTTTGCAGCGTGACAACAACGATTCGGAACAGTCGAGCAGGCTAATTTCGTCGATGGCAGCAGACGACAGAGATTGGCACGCTGTTTGTATAATTTAATAACCTATCAGCAGTTACTGACGACTGCAAATTCTGTCTTACTAGTCATTCGAAACCTCTCAAAAGTTTCTTTAGAAAATACTGCACACGAGCTTCAAAAAGTTAAGTCAAAGATTCGAAGTAGACACGGTTCCACAGTATAGTTTCGCAGAAGATCGAAAGCTCATTCACTGCTCTTTGTTCACAAATGAAAAAAAAAAAAAAAAAAAAAACGGCGAGTTTTTTACGTTTATTGAAATAAACTCTCAGCCAATGCGCGCGACACTTTGGGCTCCCAAACGTAGTAACAGTGCACATGTTCTGTTGTACGTTTGAGAGAAGCACATTGGGTGAAGAGAAACGGCGGCCTACTGACGCTCAGCCTGTTCGTAGTGCCATTCAGACGCCGGAAATGAGGGAACAGCGTTTGGCTGCGAATATCAAAGCACGGGACTCGATTTGCTCCGACCGAGGGCCGACTGAAGAAACGAGAATCACATCAATTTGATCAGCGGTAGATCGCAATCGTAGAAGAAAGATAGAAATGCTCTCGCATTGCGACGTTAGTCTGCAGCGACGCAATTTCAAAACGCAACCCCGTTTTTTTTTTTTTTTTTTTTTTTTTGTGACGTTGTTGTTTGTTAGGGAAACGAAAGGGGCAGGATATTATAATTTAATTTCAAGATAACGCCTGTCCTGTATGTCTCTTTTTCTTTCCATTGTGTCGTCAATTTGCGTTTTTTTCTTCATTAGTCGGGTAAGATAGCTGTTCGTTTTAGAGATAATCATTGGTCTTGTTCGTGAGCAGACTGGGTTTAAAACCCCCGGACGCTTGTAGTCTGCGCAAATGGCACATCAACTATTTTCGCCAGCATAAAAGGGAAAGAGACGAATGAAGACCGGAAATATATCTTCATTTTGAGTTTGCTCTCGGTGCATTGCCGTCAGACCAAACGTGGAATGTACATGTTAAGAGCTCTTGGGTTTGCAAATTGTTTGGGCAATATATCGTTGTTTTTTTTGCTCTAGAAACAAATGTTTTGCTACGATCATGGGGGCACGAGAGCGTTCTCTAAAGATAGTGTCTGTTTGTCTGTTCTCACTGTTGGATCGAGTAGTATTCACAATGCACTCTATGAATAATAATAATAAAAAAAAGGGTTAATCGTCTGTTCAAAGTACGCGGTAGCGCTTGGTATCTGTCACTACTCGGCTCAGCGTGGGAGGGTAAACAACGAAAACAAATTACCTTCCACGCACGCTGGCGCAAGTATATTGTAATATATACATGTACATTACAAGAAGCCTCGCTGTATCACATTGAGACACCAAAAAAGTACAAATAGCTTTACAAGGCATGCACAGTTTTCGTAGCGCGCGTCACCTGCCTTTTTTCACTTTTGTTGACACTGTGATATGTATACGTACAACATTGAGACAGCGTCTATGCTTTACCGGTGCCGTGCTCGGCTTGAGGAGGGAAAAAGCTGTGGTGTAACGGGCTACTAGCGGCTCTACATCTTATGTAACATAGATTCGCTCAATATCAAAAGACTGGGTAGCTAGGTTTTTTTTTCGTTTTGCGTAATCCATCCGGAGTGGTAATACCAGTTTGCAATACATGTCTAGATGACGACATCTAATAGTAAAACCAAGTACTGGAGTCCTAGTTCATGGCACGATGTCTATGCTACCGGCTAGGGCGAGTTATGAATGTGTCAATTCCATTCTCGCTAATTCACAACAGCACAGAACAAAACAACTTAATGTTTGCAATGTTTGTTCTTTATGACACTTATTTGAGGAATCTACTTTCAGATTTCGACTTTAGATGTTTTCCGTTGGAGTTGATCTTGATTCTTGTTTCTTACTCTGTTCTTTCTTTTTTTTTTTAGTAACCTGACTAATTGACGCTTTGAACGCTGTTTGAACGAGTTGACCTAGGTCACATCAAAACCAGAAAACAGATGTTTACAGGAATGACCAAGGGCTAATATCGGAAATGTACAACACTGTCCTCTCAGCATACACACTTCGAGAGTAGCACGTAAGCTCGTCGCGTTCTACTGCCAGAAAAAAAAAAAGAAAGAAAAATGTATATTAAAGTTTCCATAGATGCGTAGCACAGTTCGCAGACAAACTAGGAAGTCTTCCAGGAGTCGAGTTCGATGGGCACCTTATTGAGTTCTTCGTTCCACACTTAAGACATGATAAGACGATGGTGCCATGTGTAGGCACCATTCGCATCTTTCTCACAAAGCATCGCCTTGTTGCCGGCTGCACGCTGTGTGTAAAGCTGTAGCGATGCTACTCGAAAACAGAGCGCATAAAAAACCTCACCATGGCTGCGAGCGCTTCGCCATCGCTTCCAGCTCGTTCATAGCCAAGGAAGCCTAGCGAAGCGTCTGTTACAGATCTGCAGTGTTTCCAGTGCCTCCAGCTCCAGGACAGCTCCCAGAATGCAAGCCCATTCACCCGAATGTTCTCGCGGCGCCAGTGACGGAAGAGTGTCGTTGTCAGGGTGTCCAGATTCCTCAGCAGGCTCGTGCCAGTCTCCAGCAGTATCGTTGTCGAAACATTTGAGAACAAACGCTCCTCTGGCTACACCATTCTATACAGGTCTCAGTGTCTCCACTGGCAGCGTAAAAAGGAGACGGCAATCGTCATCACGAAGAGCGGAGGGAAAAAAAAATGCCTCGCCGTCTTCCCCTCTCGTGGTCCCTTGCTCTTGCCATCCGGGCAACCGCCGCGCGACACTCACGAGGCTAGAGAGATCCCTGATTCACGAGCCGATTAAAAAAAACGCGGAAGGCAGAGGGCACTGCGTATTCGTTATCATCATCAACAACAAGCGGAGAGAGGCTGAAACCACCTAGCGAGCAAGCTATACGATTTCGACAATGGCAGCGGCACGACGAAGCCCTGCTAGGTCCTGGAGATATCCTCGTGACAGACCTCCATGTAGCTGGGGTCCCGTAGCACGCATTTGATCATATCCTTGAGCATGTTGTACCGCGGGATGAACGGGTACACCTTGGCGTCCGTGTAGGCGATCTGCAGGCCGTGCACGATGCCCCGCAGGTTGCTGTACTTCTTCAGCAACCGGTACAGGTCGTTGATGTACTGGGCGTTCTCGTCCTCGATCTCTTGCACCGACATGCCTGCGACAGGACCCGGCATAGAAAAAGATTAGCGCACGCGGGGGCGAAGTATTTCAGGAATGCTCGGTGGAATCGCGTGATGCACTCACGACGCGATATTTCTTAGGCGAGTTCTGTTGCATCGTACTTCATCTATATTTAGCAAATTATGGACGATATACTAGCATAAAGGTATAGAAATATATATACAACATACTCAGATAAACACCTGTCACTTTCGAATGCAATTACTTTTTAGTCAATCATCTTCAAATAGTTTTTCAAAGACATTTTGTTCCTTATGTTTGACAACGTTAAAAAGAAGCATACAAGCTGGAATATGTCTGCAAAGACTAAGCGACGATGTGTGATAGGCAGTCCAAGGACGAAGAGAAGGGCACCTGAACGGAATCGTCTACCAAAGATTCGCTCTAATTAGATTCGCTCTAATAGAATAACAGGAAAGGCCGCGAAGTGCGCGACCGCGCCGTCGTGCGTCGCGCTAATTAGTTCGGTTTTGTGTACTCCGACCACCGCCTCTGGACAGCCGAGTCAGCAAATTACTTGGCTCACAATCGGTGGTAAGTTCAAAGCTTGCCAGGGGATCTGAAGTATTTTTGATTGGTTCCCTATGGGCGTAACGCTTTTCGGTGTCGGTTTTTCGTTACAGCCGGCTGTTACAGCCAAACGTTACAGAACTCTCAGAAACTCGGCTGATGAAACACATACCGCGTTAAAAATGTTAGCAATAACGATTTTCGACGAAAGGTAGGCAGGTAAACCATCAGGAGAGGTAATATTTTTCCCTTCAATGCTAGCGTATATAGACATTAATAACATTTCTAGCGCCTCTTAGATAACACAGATTTCCGGACGCTTGGACAGGACTCATCAATATGTTGCAACAGAAAATGAGTCTGTCAAGAAAACGAAAACACGTTCTACGGAGCACAACATAGGCTCGTGCACACACTTGCGACTGCTTATATGACCGTGCGCCCTACGCAAGCGGACACTGACACCACATGCCGGGTAGTCGTAAAACGCTTTGAATTTCTGTATATTTCCTATAGTTTTTTGTGCATCGTTCTTTCTTTTTCGGCTCGAAAAAACGTCTGAGAGTGTTATAAACGACTGTTTCTTGTAGATAGTATTCGTAGTACAATTGGTCTCGCAAATACCACAAAACCTTCCAAAACGTATAACCAATAAGATGATCTGGCGGGCTAGTCGGTTGTCCATCATGAGTCCATCATCCTTCCTTGTTGTTTCGCGCTATATGTAGTAAGTCATAACGTATAACCACAGCGGCACCTACAGTACTGGTGTGGCAATCCTCGAGGTGCCGAAACACCACAAGCCGCACTTTGTGCAAGTTTATTTCGATGCGAAAGATAATTCACAATAAAAACAGAAGCAATTTTTTTTTTTCTTTTGGGGAGGGGGGGGGGGGGAGATTTTTGAAAGTAGCTTTCGTTCTCATTGTGTAATGCTGTTGGCTACGAACACGGGCAAATAATCTGAAAGTCGCGAGGGGACCTCGCGAGACGGGATTTTCAAGTACGAAAAGTACGGGAGTTTCTGCTCGAAGAGTAGTTAGCTCCGGAAGAAATCTGGAAAAAGCTTGACGAAAAAAAAAAAAAAAAATCTAAAACTTAATGTTTCAGTTTTGGTCGCGCGTTCTTTGTTCTTCCCCTCCTATTTGTGTTTAATATTGTATTCAAACCCGGTGGCCATGGTCATTCTCTTGACATACAACTCACATCGCAAATGATTAAATACAATTGGCATGCGCCAAATTGTATTCAATCACAGCGAATTGCCATGCTAAATTGTAGTGTTTTGACTCATTCGGCAAATATAATTACAATACTCGATACAAAATACGAATTACCTAAAGTGTATTAGATACGTCTCAAATTCGTGAACTACCGCCAATCCCTAGTATTTAGTTTGTTTCATTAAGCGAGAAGAGTTATTTTCTGAAATTTATAACATGACGTGTAGATATTTGTATTTAAAGAGATTCACCGAATAAATAAAGTGGATCTCCGCGACATTTCGCACATATACGCGAGCAATGTATAGAATATGATTCGTCGGTTTGTTCACACCCTAATCAGAAGAACGGCAGAATCTCAGCGAAGCTCTAGGAGCTACTGGTTTCCTTACCAGACACTATGAATCAGCGTTCTTTGAAAATAATGTGCGATTTATTGACAATGGTCGATAAAATAGTTCCGAATGAAAAGGTTTTTGATGAGCCGCCTGCAATCAAACACGCGGTGTGTGGATTAACACCGAACGAGACCCCAGGCGTACACGCCGAGAAAGGGAGGGCGAGGAGGAGGCGAGAGCGAAGTCAGAACGCCGAGTTCTGGTTCAAATGATTAGGGGGTAGACCTAAAGCTAGCTGCCTTTGAATCCGTTACACTTGTCGAGCACGTTCGAATGCTACAGCCAAACGCCAGATGCCTGCTTTCCGCGTTTTTAACGCGTTCGACGAGTGCACTGGAGATAACAGCTGCTAGCCTTAGGTCTACCCACTAATCGTTCCAACCAGAGCTCGACGATCTTGACGTCCCCTCGCGTTCACGGCGCATAGACGCTTTGCACCAGCTGTGCAAGGGCGCCATCACAACAGACCTTCAGTTTTTGTTTCCTCTTATTGTTCTGTTTACTTCCCTTTATCATTTCCACAGCAGGCCAGGTTACTGCCATTTCAGATTCTACACCGTCCTTCTCCTTACTATTGGCCTTTCTGGAGGCTCGTCAACGACCGTTTCAGTAGCTCGGAACCTCGGTAAGACGAGAGTGAGGTCAGAAATGGCGGCTGTAAAAGTTTCTGTTTGCCCCCACCGAGTGAGGGCGCTGCGCGAAACTAGATTTTAGGGTGCCTAGATGTCTGTCTGTCTCAGGGTGAAGACATCCATTGTTGTCCGGAATGCGCCAGCGCGTGACGCTCTCGCGCACTCGGTGCGTGACTTGGGCGGTAAGATGGCGTCTATGCATCAGCCAAAGCTACGCGCTCGAGCTGAGTGACACCGGATTGCGCGCACTTCAAAATGCATAAAAAAACGATTGGGCGGAAAAATGGCTGAGATGTCACCACTCAAGCAAAAGCGCGCGTGTGTATGAAGGCACTCTACTAGATTTCCGTGAATCGTCGGCGCATGCGCCAACAGCAGCGTCACCGCGGCGACCGCGGCGACAGCGGCGGCGTGACGTGAGAGCCACCTTTAGGTCAGATGCTGCAGAATGGAAAGCAGGTCAACGGAAAAAGCACAGGAATGAAAGCGAGACATGAAATGCCACTTCGGAAAGATGGACATAGGAACGAGGTGTAACAAATTAAAGTGTCGAGTAAGAAAAAAGAAAACTTTCAGCCTTCCCACTTTGGTGAGGAAGGAAGACCAGCGGAGCTGTACAACGGAAAGTAATGGCCGTCCGCATGTCGGCAAGCCATGTATGTATATTTATGTATATTTGCAGCGCAATCTCTTTGTAACGAGAGTCCATGGTATAGACGCGCCAAAAACCAAGACAAAACAATAAACCACTGGTGCCACCGATGAGTCGAGTCGCCGCGTTGCCACTCCGGAGTTGGAATGATTCTAGAATCATTCCGCATTTTCGCGACCCCGGAATGGAATGGGAATGGAATGGCGGCAACGTTGAGGGGAATGGAATGGGCCCGGTTCTTAATTAATTTATTTATTTATTCTTTTTTTTTCATGTGGGGGAAAGGGGGGGGGGGGGGGTTACGTTCAGCTAAACCCAGCAAGTCAGCGAGTCAATTGCTTAGCAATAAAATGAGCAGCGGGAAACTGCTAGCCTGTGTGGAACCTTAACAGACTGTGCGTAAAAAAATGCAATACAAAACACAAGGGGGGGGGGATGTGGTGTATAAAACGAGGAAGGGGGTTTAATGGCTATGCGAAATGTTATTCTCCAGGCAGGGAAAAGACTCGCATAGCCAAAGGGGAGAGGGAGGGAAAGATGTGGATTGAGATGGGTTGAATAAAATATTTTGGCAGTTACTAGGAAAAAGCACCAATCAGATCATTTGTAGGGTGGAGGGGGGGGGGGGTAGGGAAGAAGGGGGGGGGGGGGAGGAGGGGTGGCGGTGGCGCCTTTCGCGGACGCGCAGACGACGGGCTTCACTTGTGTTACACGAGAGCGAAATAAGAAACCAAGCAAAAGAAACGAAGGGAGCGGCAAAGAATGAAACCGCCATGCACGACTCCTCATCATCCTTCCTGTCTTTTTTTTTTTTTTTCGACGGCATGGAGAATGAATGCGCGCGCACAGACTGAGCTCTGGGAACGGGGTCGACTCATAACTCGCAGAGCTCTGATAACTCGTTGACTCGAGCGCCGCCGAAAGATGATCAGTTATTGTTTTCTTATAGTATGAGGAGCTTTGTTTAGCAGCTGGCCAACCCTGCTGCCTTCCACGTTCATTCGCGTGCACTCCTTTGAAGTGCGAAATGTGGGTTTGCTCTGGGCATTAAAACAAAGCGAGATTCATTTCTCTCTTTTCTTGCGCTTTGCTTCGACGCTTGTTTTTTGCACTGCATTTTTATGTGTAAGTCCGCCTTTCCTTGGTCTTTGTTCCGATGCTTGTTTTCTGTGTTAAATGTTTTACATTCAAGTGTTTTAGGGCAACAAGCAAGCTAGATGATGCATGTTCATTTCCTTTGACTTTAGTCTCTGCATACCTTGTTTCACTTTGCGATGGACCGCTTCGGACGCTACGAGTCACCCCTGGCAATCTAGGACCGTGAGCTTAGTAAAATCTGCTTTTTTGAGGCATTTAGCTTTTTTTTCTTTTTTGCAACTGTCTATGCGTTTGATATGTCAGCTTTATGCTGCTTATGCCGGCAAACATAATGTAGCTGTCAAGTGCCAATTTTAACGTTTAGGAATTAGAGGAATGGAATGGAACGATTGAGCCATTCTAGGAGTGGGAATGGGCCCAGTGTCCCCATTCCTAGGAGTTGAAAGGAATTGAATTACCAA